TAATTCTGTTCACACTTTTTTAGTTCATTAAAATGATCCTATAGAACAAGCGTGCGATTTGTCAGGAGAATCTTGAGCAGGAAGGGCTTCTTCTCACTCCATCGCACGCTCACTCCTGTCTCACAACATGCCCTTAAAGGAAAAGGAAGGAACTCAAAACAGAATAGACGTCCAACAGTGAGGAGGAAGGGGAACTAGGAGTCCGCGCTGCACTGGAAGTCCACCCTGTGGCTGGAGAACAGAAGGGCGCCCGGAGGAGGACCACGCAGGGCCGAGGCCGCCGGCGGGGCCTCCCACCCTGAAGCCCCACAGCAGCTCTGGCCCCGGGGAGGAGATGAGAGCAGGGCCGCGTTCAGGAGTCTGTGTGTAGAACAGCCCTGCCATTAGAGCCTTCCTTGCTCTTCTCCAATCTCTACATGCAGGGGACCAAATAGCCTAGTATAGGCCCCCAAAAGATGTCAGGACTTTTCTCTGAAAATATTGAAGCTGATTAAAGAGCAAAGCATCCCTGACCTTTCAGGGGAGGGTGGTGGCGGAAGTGCTGGAGCAGCCGCCCTAAGGGGAAGCCTTCCCAAAGCCACACCCCCGCGTAGGGCCCGGCGGCCCTCCTCTCCACAAGTGGTCTCCGGCCCCGCGCTCTCCCTGGTGTCCGTGCTGGGGGGATTTCCCAACGTGCGTCTTTAGCCATGACCTGTCCCCTGAACTGCAAGCTCATGCATGGACTATCTATAGTGTCGCCGTAAGAATATCTGAGCCAGCGGCGGGTCAAGCAGTGAATGACGGCCTGAGGCCTGGCTTAAGTGTCTGAGGACCCTGCGCCGCCTGGCTGTGCTCTGACCTCACTGTCCAGCCTCTTCTCACTGCACTTTCCCTCCAGTCACCCTGCTGGCTCTGGCGGACCCCAGTGAGGCATATGACTGTCCACTGAAGTCAGGGGGACGTCACTGGAGGTGTTGAGCAGGAGACTGGTAAGATCTGATTCAAGTTTTTAAAATACGGTGGCTCCTTTGTGGATGATGGATGGCAAGGGGCGCCCGTGGAGGCCCAGCAGGCCTTTTGGTGGTTTCCTGGGGGCTGTCTCCTGCATCCCCCCTCAGCCAGTGGCAGTGGATGCCGCCTGACGGTCCAAGGTGGAGAGGCAGAGACAGGGTAGGAAGTGACGAGGAGCAGGCCAAAGCTTTTACACAAAACCCAGTGCCTCAGCAGTCAGTGTGGACATTTATTTACCCTCTGGTTCCTGCAACTTTGCTGCTTCAGTAGAATTGTTCCAACAACCTTCTGTATTGACCAGTTATGATTTTTTAAATGAGTTACGTTTTCCTATCCTTTAGTTATTGACCAGGAAAACGTGAAGTTTGTCATGCAAGTCAGCCTAGAAGTCAAGGCTGATTTGACCTACCAATGACTTTCAACTTGTTTTTTGGATTTTTTTTTTCCCCCTTAAACCTTAGTATTCTGGTCTGATTTATAGACCTAACCACTAAATGAATAATGATGGTGCAGATTTTCTTCCCTCTAAATTTGCTGCATTTAGTAATATAATGTGCTTGGGGGTCAATGAGACCGTAGAGCATCTTCTCAAGGTAAAGGGGGGGCGCCGCCGAGGCTGTGGGCAGTAGTGTTTCCCCGGGTGATGTCGTCTGGAATTGCTACCATTCATCAGCTTAATGATGGTTTCTGCTGCCTCTTCAGCTGATTTGGGAAAGAGCGACTGAGACATTAAAATGAAGAGGGACAAGGATTGATGGCCCTACCGGGAATTCTTGTTAAAGACGTCCTAACAGCGCACAGGGGTGTGTTCGCAAGATGCTTTTAGATAGCATAAAGAAGGTAGGGGAGATTGTATTAGTGAGTGTTTTTGTTCTTGGTTAATATAATATGTTCTCTGACACAGTGTTCCCATATAATTTTGGAAAAACACTGTACCAGGCAATATTTTAAAAGTAGAATATAGAAGAGAAAGATTTTGAAATGCATTGTATTGTGTAGATTGAATAAAGGGAAGTAAACATAGTACAAATGTGATTTTAAATTGTTTTAAGACAGTTTTTAAAATGCAAATATAAAGGTACTTTGAAATATTTCCAAGTTGCATGTGTGTATATATGGCATGTTTATTATTTCTCCCACAAAACATTGGGTTTGGCTAATAAGAATGTTTACAGTAAACATTTACAGTAAAATTAGGCTTGACATATAAAATACAAGAGTGCAAGATGGCAGATGGACAAACTGACACTAAAAAAGGTTCATTGTTTATCTCAAATTCAAACTTAATTTGTGTGTTTCTTTTTTCCCAAGCCTGGCAATCCTATGTAAAGTAGAAAACATGAATAAATCAATGAAGATAAGATGGGGCGAGGTTGCAGTATAAATATGAAGTCTAATATAATTGCAGAAGTTAGGCCATGGTTCTGGCCTTGAGAGTCCTGGCGGCTGGTCAGAAATGGAAATATAGTCACTTACAAGATGTACATCACCCAGAAACTGGGGCAGGTGGAGGGGAAGCATTTACTTGGGACAGAGAACACCTTGTAGTTTTGGGGTCATACAAAACACTTTTTTTCAAAGTCTCCATTAAAGGAACACTGTGATAAAGGTGGTGGTTATAATATCTTTTATTGAGCATTGTATGAACTAGGAAGTCTTTCAAAGAGGAGTTTTTAAAACTTAGATGAAGTTCATTTCCCTTTTTTACATTGTTCCTTTGCAGTTATAGCTAGGAAGTCTTTCCATTACCCAAGATCTAAAAGATTCTGCCTATGTTTTCTCTGAGAAGGTCTAAAATTTATATTTCAGTGCATCAACCTTTTTTGTTTCCTTTTTTTTTAAAGAACTGACTGCATTTCAGGGCTCCCTGAGGACTTGTGCTTTATTCACTGAGTGTGGCTGTTCTGCGGTCACCGCGTCAGGTTCGATCTGTATACTCAAAACATTTAGCGTTAGTTTTGGGGCGCGGTGAAAGGCATGGATTGGAGCTCCCGTTTCGCATGTCATTTGAGCGCCATGTGTTGGAAACATGTCCTCAGCTGCCATGATGCCTCTCTCCAAAGCCGCAGCTGCATACAAACCTACACATATCTAAAAATAAGAGGTTAATTTGCACTACCTTTAAAAATGAATTCAAAATGGATCAAAGACCTAACTGTAAAAGCTAAAACTATAAAATTCTTAGAAGAAAAAATAAATGTAAGAGCAAAAACTAAACATTCCTGGAAGAAGCATAAATCTCAAGACCTTGGAATAGGCAATGGTATCTTAGGTATGCCACCAAATTCACAAACAATAAGGTAGGTAAATTGAAACTTGAGTAAAATACAAATTATTTTGTGCCTCAAAGCACACTATTAAGAAAGCAAGAAGATATGCCCTGCCAACTAGCTCAGTTGCCTGGAGCATCGTCCAGATATGCCAAGGTTGTGGGTTCAATCCCCAGTCAGGGCACAAGCAAGAAACAACCAGTGAGTACATGGGTAGATGGACCAGCAAAGTGATATTTCCCGCTCTCTCCCCCTCTGCTTCGCTTCCCTCCCTCTCAAATCAATAAAAAAAGAAAGAAAAGCGAGAAGACAACCCACAGAACAGAAAAACATTTTTGAAAATCACATCTGTTAAGGGACTTGTATTTAAAATATAAATATAAAAACACTTGATTACAAAAAGATGACCCATTAGAAAAATGAGCTAAGGCTCTGAACAAACAGTTCTCCAAAGAAGACATTCAAATAGCCAAGAAGCACAAACAAAAGATACTAAACATCATTAGCCTTGTCAGGGAAATGCAAAGCCAAACCACAGCGAGATACTTGTGCCTCCACTCCGATGGCTGCTTTTAAGAAGACAGAGAGTAACAGGTGTTGGGGAGCGTATAGAGAAACTGGTATTCATATGTTGCTGGTGCGAATGGCAGCTTTGGAAACAGTCTGGCCGTTCCTCAGAAGTTTAAACATGGACTTAACATACGACCCAGCAGTTCCATTTCTGTACCCAAGAGAAATGGAAACACATGTTCATAGCATTACTGCCAAAAAAAGTGAACCACTCAAATGTCCATCAAAGCATGCGTGGATAAGCAAATGTGGTCTATCCATACCATGGAGTATTATTTGGCAATAAAAATAAAGTACATGAATGAATTTTGAAAACGTTATGCTAAGTGAAGGAAGCTGGTCACAAGGATCATATTTTGGATGATTTTCGGCACCTGGAACATCCAGGATAGGCAAGTGCGAAGAGACAGAGAGCCAGCTGATGAGCAGCACTGGGCGGGGCTGGGGGTGGGGCGCAGGAGATGACAGCGAGGCGACTGCTAACGGTTGTGGGGTTTCTTCTTGGGGCGATGAAAAAATTCTAGGATTGATCGTTGTGGCGGCTGCGCCACTCTCCACCTGCTACTGAATTGTACCTGCCAGATGAGTGAGCTGGGTGGCCTAGGGGTTATATCTCAATAAAGCCGTTACAAATAAATAAAACTTTAAAAATAAAAAGGTTAAAGTGCTTTTAGTATGATTTAGTATGATTGTTATTTCATATCATACCTTCTCATACATGCAAAACCATGCTTTCTGTCCCACCGGTTTAGCGTATAATGAATTGGACACAGACAAGTTCTGTGTGTTCTTTAATATCTTCTAGGAAGTGAATTTTTCTAAACAATAGTAATAGAAAGCAAGAATATAAGGGACATGCCTCAAGAAATTCACACAGTTTTCACACTCATACACCCCGCCCCCCGTTATGGATATATGCATTGGATATGTGCAGACAGAACCTGTGTTGGTCTTCTGCTTGTCACAAGACTCTCTTCTGATTTCGTGCTGTTCGTTCTCTTTGAGTCACCGCAGGCTTTTTGAAAAAGATACATTGGGGGGAAAAACATTCAATTACTGAAACTTTGTACACAGGCTGACATTTTCCCCATTAGGCGCATTTTACTGTAATTCTTGAAAGCCAACGCCATCGTGGATGGCACTGAAGGAGTCTTCTTTGTTAACTTTTAGCTTCCCATCGAGGATCCTGAAATTTTTGAAGTTTCATCCAAGTGTCTGTCCATCCTGGTTCAGCTCTATGGAGGAGAAAACCCAGACAGTCTGTCTCCTGAAAATGCAGAGAACTTCGCTGATTCACTCCTATCCAAGGAGGACCCGAAGGAGCAGAAGCTTCTGCTGAGGATTCTCCGAAGAATGGTGAGTCCACGCAGAAACTGGGGTAGTAGGGTGGGTGGCGGCATGGCAGCCAGTGGACAGGGAGCGGGCCTCATTATCTTCGACGTCGTTTCAGTAAACGAAGTCCCGGTTACCTCTCCCCGTGGTCACCTTTCCCTTAGTCACCTACAGTTACCGGGCATCAGATTCCACCTGTCGTATCTTTTCTGAGCAATTGGAGAGTCAGAGAACATTGCACCCCTCCCCCCTTATTACATACGTGTGCATTTCCCAACAAAATCAGTTTTTTTAAGTTAACAATTATAGTCAAAATCAGGAAATTGAACTTGGTACAATTCTTTTCCTAACCTGCCATCCACATTCCAGTTCTCTCATCTGTGCCATTGAGGGCCCTTTCTGGCGGCTTTTTCCTAGTATAGGATCCAGTTCGGGATCCCGTGTTTTGGTGGACATCGGTCTTTAGTCTGGAGTCGTTCTGCCACCTTTCTTTGTCTTTCATCACATTTTTGAGGATTGTAGGCTGGGTATTTTGTAGAATCGCTGTCAGTTTGTATGTATCTAATGTTATCTATTAGAGTCAGGAAAACTAGTTTGTCACGTCAAGAGGCTCATGATGTCTGTCTGCTCCTTCCTGGTGATGTTAATTTTGATCACTTCAAATCAACGCACATCGACTATTTTTAAATTTGTAATAGTTGCAAAGTGGAGATTGTCTAACTCTCAGTATTCTACTGCAAGGAAAAAGTTTCCACTTTGTCTTGTTTATTTTATTTTTATAAAATATGTATAGCTGATGTTGATTTGAAGGTGCTTTTGAAGACTGACTCGTTTTCTTCTCACGCTAAATCCTATTCTGCTGGTTTGGAAGGCCGCTCCGGCAGCAGCTGTTGTTGAAGTTAACAAAGGCGAGGCGGTCCTGTTTGTCTCAGCACGTTCTGATTTGTCCATCTGTTGCTTCTCAATACAAATTGTCCTTTGGCAAGTGGAGCATGGACACGCCAGAGGGTTGCACTGAGGCTAACTTTTGTGCCAGGTTGATAAATGGACGGCAGCGCCTGACTCAGAAATCTACACGGCGGACTGTGATGACAGAACTGGAAGGGAGGTTCGGGGACCGCCCCCCGCCCCGCGCTGCTGCAGACGCATTTACACAGCCCGCTCCCCTCCCCCAACAAGACTTACCGTCGCAATGGAGTGGTCACCTGAGTAACAGAACAGTGCTGTGGTCTAGATGAGCCTCTCAAAGTGCAGGATGAATCCTGCTGGGGACAGCAGACAGGAGATGATACACCAGCCTAGAACTAGATGACACTGACTCACCTCATAAATCGGTATTTCCTGCCAGTTTTCCTTCTCTTTTATGGTTTCAGGTGGAAGTCTCAGTTTGGTGTTCTGTGACTGTCACACCTCTGGGAAGTCTTCAGAATCTCCTTTTTCACAGAGGGTAGACCTTTCAGAAACTCAGCTTTTAGAATTAAGATGAGATAGTTCTTTAAAATTATAATTTTATTCAAATAGAAAAAGCTGAGTCAATGTGAAGACAATTGCTTGGAAATATAATAACGCCAGTGATATGTAGATATGGCAGAATTGAGAATTAGGTTGAGAAAGACAGGAGCTTGAGAAATATCGATCTAATATCCGATACGATTAACTTTGTAGAGATCCACTGCCTCTTCTTTGAAACATTTAAGACTAGATTTCTTTTGGAATTCATAATTTTCAGATCTCTTTGGCACGACAGCCATAGAGATAGAGGTGCGGGGCAGGGCGGTGGTTGCTGCGTCAGGCACGGGACAATTTCTGCAGCAAAATGTGTGGGCGTTTGCAGGGAGCAGGGAAATAGAGACCATGCAAGGCCTCATGGGGCCTCCAGTTAGGCTTTGCCACCAGATATGTTTTTGATCCAAACTTACGCGGAAAAAGTTTGAGTTTCAGAGCTTTTCAGAATTGCAGATATGAGGTTATGGACCTGCCTTTGGAAATAAATTGCATCATTTTCTAAAACACTGGTCAAATTAATCATGCAGCAAACAAACTGGACCCTGACTTGGTTGAAGTAACTGGACTACACCATCTTTTGGTTATTTTACTGCCTGAAATGATTTATGATTTCTGACCTGCCACATATAGAACCAGGTAGATTTTGTCTGGGGAAGAAAAATGGAATCTAACAGACTTTTTACCTGTTTATGTGAAAACAAGTACTTGGTGCTACTTATCTTTTTTTCAAGTTGTGGTAAAACACATACAGGATTTACCATTTAACCATTTTTCTTATACTGTTCAGTGGCATTGAGTGCAGTCACATTGCTCTGCAGCCGGCACGACCGTCCATGCCAGACCTTTCTTGTCCCAAATGAGCCTCTGCCCTTTAAACAATAACTGCCCGTTCCCCCTGCCCCGGCGCCGGGTGACCACCGTTCTAATTTCAGTTCTTGAATTTGATGACTTTTGGTACTTCGTGGAAGAAGAATCATACAACATTTGCCCTTTTGTGACTGGCTTATTTCCCTTAACGTAACGTCTCCAGGATTTATCCATTTTGAGGCATCTCTCAGAATTCCATCCCTTTTGAAGGCTGGATAACATTCCACTGTGTGTATACGCGCCATTTTGTTTGTCTGTTCCTCTGTTGATGGCCATTTGTTTCCACCTGTTCTGCCCCATTTATTTTCTCTGTTCTTTCTTATGATCAGGATCGCCTTGGGTTTTCTTTTTTTTTTATGCAGTGGGTTGTGACCTGCTGCAGCCCTGTCGCTGGCCAGCGGGAGCCCTTTGGGGTGCCTGCTCTGTCTTCTGACCTGCCCCCATCATTTCATTTCGGAGCCCTGTCCATCTTCGCGTGACACACTAGGCTCATCTTGTCCCTTTTCTCTGCATGGACGCTGACACCAGGCATTACGCTGGCACCAGGCACTCACCCCCCCCAACAGGACCACGGAGCATCGTTGTGCAGAATTTAGAAAGCAAGATACAAAATTGTTCGTGGCTGAAGTTACAACAACTGTTTCCTTAAGAGTCACACATACTCTTTCTTACTGTCTGTCCCATGGAGGGGAGCCCTGTAGGTCACTCAGATCCCTGATGTCTCTTAATTTAGCTGTTCAGGAATGCCCATGACATTGGCAGGCCAGCCATCTGTGATAAGAGCACCTGAAAATCTTTTGAAAGCTTTCTGAGTTACCCCTGGGCCTATCACTGTCGGGTTCAAGTTGTACAAATGACAATACCGGATTCTGGAGCCCAGACAGCTCAGCTGGGGCCTTGAACTTGTCTTTCCTGACGCTCAGTTCTGCTTAAACTCAGTGCTGAGTTTAGTACATTTGGAGCAGAATAGCAGCATGTTACCCAGGGATGTGTGACGTCAGCACCTCCCCAGGGCTGGTTTGACCCTTGCTGCTCCCTGTCCTCGCTTGTGGGACTGCCATTGTCTGGTAACTGTCTGTGTACTTCCCATCCTTGCCTTCCCATCCCCCTTGTTTGGGCTGGTGATGTGGTCTTGTTCATCCTTCTGTCTTCAGCATATTCTGGTGTCTGACCCATAAAAGGAGGTTGGCAGATGTTCCTAACCGTGTGCTAGTCCCTGTGTGAAGGGCTTTTGGTGCATTATCTCATCGAACCTTCGCAGTGACCGTAGAGATCTGCTCCAGGGATTATTCGCATTTCTAAGATAAAAAAACTAAGTCTCAAAGAGCTTAAGTCATGTTCCCAAACCCCCACCTTGGAAAGGGGAGAGCTGGGATCAGCCCAAGTTGCACCGACCCCGGCCCGTGCGCCCTCCGAGGAGCTGACTGCCTTGTCCCCCTGCGCAGGACTGACATGGGCTCGGTGGGCGTTCATCACGCTGACTCAGACCAAGTTTCGATCTAAAAGGTACCTGAGACATTCTGTCATTCACAGAAAAATAAGTAGCAGATGGAATTATCCCTGGGTGCAGGCACTGCATTGGGGATACTAAGACAGTAAGATGGGTCACCCTGGTCCCCGCTGCCATGGGTCTCTAACCCAGTGTCGTGACAAAGCAGGCCGCAGTCACGCTCAGCAGAGGAGCCAGCAGAGCTCCACAGGGACAATCCCCAGGGAGAGGAAGTGGGCAAGGACGAGATGTCTGAGCTGAGTGTGGAACGGTGTGTCGGTCACCATGCATTGAACAGGACAGAGTACACCCTGTTTGTGCCAAGGCCCCCAAGTCCATGGGGTGAGGTTGGGAGGTGTCAGAAGTGGGCCAGGAAAGGCCAGAACGTTCCAAACATGGGTTTTACTAGCATTTGGAGTTTGGACTGTATTGCTGGAATTAGGAAATTCTGGGCTCTGAAACAAAAGGGCAGTGGTGGCATCTCCATTGAATTTCAAGTGTCTTTGCTGTGAAATAAAACTTTGTCCTAGGAATTGGCACGTGGCCGGTATTTGGTGACTCCACTGAGCAAAGAAAGAAATGCCTATAAAATCACTACTTTTGTTATTGGCAAATTGTTTGTTTTTGCTCTTCAGTGTTGTGAGCTCATTTCAGTGTTTTGTAGAAGCAGGGGTCAAGCTGAGAGGGACCTTAAAAGACATGTAGTCTCCTGAGTTCAGTCCCAGCCTGGTGTCCCTGCTGGGTTCCCAAGGAGCGATGAGATTGGAGCGGCAGATGCGCAAAGGACAGGGGCTTGAGAGAGACAGGGAACATCAGCAGAGACTTCCTGCGACTTGGAGGCTGGCCCGTTAGGCTCATTGTCCCACTGGACTGGGGGAACCGGAGTTGACACAGAGCCAGGGACCAGGGCTAGATTCACTACCTGGTGTTAGTCATTGTGTTAAGGAGGCCTGGTGAGAGCAGCTTGCTGACAGTAAGAAGTTAAGAAGGGAAAACAGCCTCCTGTAGCACCTGCCCTAAGAGACCTCCGTGAAGTGCACGCCTCTCCGGAAGCACTTCTGGAGGGAGGGGTGGCAGCTCTGTGGGCCGCCTCTCTTTAAGCTCTGACAGAGGACTGTCTTCCTCCTCTCCCTGCAGCTGACCCAGCTTGGGGGTTTCAGAGATGGCGACCCCGAATGGCACTTGGACATAGCTTCCAAGGCCGGCTAGTGTGCACTTCAGTGGCTGGGAATGATAGGGCAGACCCCTCCCAATGAGCCACCTAAAAGGCCCTGGATTCTTGAAATACCTGTTTAAAGTCCCAATTTGGGGGCAGTTTCTTTCTAAAAACCATACTTTTCACTAACAGATGAAAGAAAGAGATGTTTAACTTGTGCTAATGGAGCTGGGAAATGGTTTCCCCTTGGGCGCGCTCCTTATTTAGTCTGAATTTAGAACATCCAGAGAATGTTGGGGAAGCCTAAGAATTTAATTAGCCATTGTCATTTACCAGGAAGTTGGGAGGTTTTATAATTATACTTTATGTTCTAGCTTTAAAAAAAATATGATGGAAACCCTTCAAGGTGCTCCCTAATTTGCCTCTCCCTTAAACTTGACATCAATGGGAGTTTTCCCAGAGTGATTATTGTAGATTAGCTACTTGTCTTTTAATTAAAGCTAGTTTACTCCAACACTTGGAGTATTGACCGCACGAAAATCACCACAGACTCGTTCTGTGAGACTGGCTGAAGCGTTCGTATTTTGGTGTGGCCAAAAAGTCCATTTAGTTTTTTTCTGTAAAATAAAGGACACATTTTTCATTTTAACCAAAAACTTTATTAATTTGGATAGTCTGGATATGTCAGCTCTCTCATGCTGTTTGCTTCTACTGGGTAGAGGCCAGGGCTGCTGCTAAACATCTTCCAATGCATGAGACAGCCCCACAGCAATGAATTATTTGGCCAAAGTGTCAATAGTACCAAGAAACTTTGCAAACCATTTTCAACATGTTTGATCAGTCATAGCACTTCTCCATACACTGTACGAGTCTTTTCTTTGAATTCCAGTTGCACTTTTTGCCTTTCTTGAAATACTAAAAATAATGTGCTAAAAATGTTGTGTATCCTCTTTCATCTACGATATTAAAATGGCTGCACAAAAATTCACCAATTTTGATT